CAACTGCTGCTGCTGTTAATGATGTACTACTAATAGTCAATGAATTACTAGAGATACAGAATGGATCCTCTTTGTTTTATTCTGCTATTCGACCAGTTTCTTGTAAAAATATTAAAGCAGTTTATCCCAACAGTCCTTCTGGTTACTATTATGTTAACAGTCGCATTATATACTGCAATATGGGAGAGCTGTGTGGACAAGATGGAGGATGGACAAGAATAGCTTATCTTGATATGAATGATATGTCACAGAACTGTCCTTCTGGACTTCAGGAATTGATCGATGAAGGAATTAGAGTTTGTAGGAGGAGTTCCGGTGTCTGTAGATCTAACATATTCAAAACAAATGGTATCAGTTATAGTCAAATATGTGGTAAAGTGGTTGGATATCAAAAGGGAACGACTGATGGAGTCAACACTTGGATCAATAATATTGATAGTGCTTATATTGATGGAGTCAGTATCACACGTGGGTCACCTCGTCAACATGTCTGGTCTTATATAGCTGGGCTTCAGTCAAATATCAATTCAGACCATACCTGTCCTTGCAATACTGGAGCAACTAATACAATTCAAGGTTTTGTAGGAGAGCACTACTATTGTGAGTCAGGTACAAACAGTACTCCTTCCAATACTGAAGTATACACTACTGATCCATTGTGGGATGGAAATAACTGTCTTTCAAAAGAAGCTCCTTGTTGTAATGGTACTGGTCTTCCATGGTTCTTCAGAGATTATGGTAATGCTACCATTACTGATTACATTGAATTGAGGGTGTGTGGGAATCACGGATATGGACATGAAGATACTCCAGTTCAATTGTATGAGATTTATGTCAAGTAAAGGAACAATTAATAATTATAAGTAGTGCATTGTCTTTGTTTAGTTGGTTTTATAGAACATTGTCATTAGTAGAAACAAATAATAATAATTATTATTGTGTAAATAAATCATAACAAACCTTGACATGCTATCTATAATGAAAGCGAATGTGCTGTTATTCATTAATAGTGCCAATATAAACACAAATAAAATTACCGTATAGCAGGAAATTTTGTAGGGAGTGAAATTTGGTGAATTGCTAAAATTTGGTGATTGGCAAATTTTAATTTGCCGAATTTGTGGCCATGTGCCATTGAGCATGCGTATAATAGCTCAAAATGGTGGATTTTTATTTTGATGAATGGCTATCAAAACGCCAAATTCACCAAATTTAACTACCTAAAAAATTTCCTTCTATATGGTATATAAATAAATAGAGCTTTAAATAACCATAAGCAGTGCTAGTGAAGAGTGTTATAACTGATAATGCTATTGTAAGCTTAACTATAATTATTTTCCTAGGCACTTATTGTATTATTATTATCATGATTTTCCCGATTATTATTTCTGTACTTATTTTCATTCATTATGTAAGGTTAGATAATGTATGCCATGCTAATTTCTTTCTAGTGTTATGCAATGTTATGCAAGATGTTTCTGTGATGTATTTAAGTGAGTGCTTTTTCAGTTTTAAGAAGGTTTTAACTTATTGACAAAATTGCTTGTTGATTCTCGTGAGACCTCTCTTTGCCTTTCCTTCTCCGTCACTACAAAGAAATGGAAAAGAAGACAATGTCAACAAGCTTTCAAAGTGAAGTTAAGGATTTCAATGAAGAAATGAAGCTAACACAAAACACAGCCTATCAACCAGTAGTAAAGACTGATACTAGTACTGAAGAAGCAGTATACTTAGATCTTCATGACTACTCAGGTATATACCATACAAGTAATTTATTATTAAAACTAATGTATGATATATTCATTAGATTATCAGCTACCAAAAGCTAATGTTAAGGATAGGATGTTAAGAATGTTAAGAATAGCCTTATCTTGATATGAATGATATTTCACAGAACTGTCCCTCTGGACTTCAGGAATGGCTCCCTAGCTCAGGCAATGGCATTAGAGTTTGTAGGAGAGAGGGTAATTCTGCTGGTTGTAGGTCTAACATATTCCAAATGAATGGTATCAGTTATAGTCAAATATGTGGTAAAGTGGTTGGATATCAAAAGAGAAGGCCTAATGGAGCCAACACTAACATTGATGATATCAATGATGCTTATATTGATGGAGTCAGTATCACACGTGGGTCACCTCGTCAACATGTCTGGTCTTATATAGCTGGTTTTCAGTCAAAATATCAATGGAGTTTCTACCTGTCCTTGTAATAACAGAACAACTAATACAATTCAAAGTTTTGTAGGAGAGCACTACTATTGTGAGTCAGGTACAAACAGTGAACCTTCCAATACTAAAGTATACACTGGTGATCCATTGTGGGATGGAAATAACTGTCCTTCATTAGAAGCTCCTTGTTGTAATGGTACTGGTCTTCCATGGTTCTTCAGAGATTATGGTAATGCTACCATTACTGATTACATTGAACTGAGGATGTGTGGTACTGCTGGATGGGGCAATGAAGACACTCCAGTTCAATTGTATGAGATTTATGTCAAGTAAAGGAACAATTAATAATTATAAGTAGTGCATTGTCTTTGTTTAGTCGGTTTTTTGTCAAGTGACTAAAGCTGTAGACACTATAGTACAAATA